GACACCACACCGGTTAGCCGATATGGAGTCAGGAATCCGTCGCCGGAAGTGGCAGTGGAAGAGAATTGGGATGATGAAGCAGGTTCTAATTCGGATCAGTTGATTCAGGTGCCCATGCAGAGAAGTATACCTCCAGGCATGGGTCGTGGTGCGAGACTAAGATGGATTATACAGGAGAGAAGGAGATTACGACAGGTGCAGCAGTGAAGGAAGCAGGGTTTCAGAGGGTGGAGGTATTGTTGGCAAACGGAAGCAAGGTTTAAGAGAGTGGAGACAATGTTGGTAGAAGGAAAAAGTAGTGGGGTGACTAAAAAGTGCACCAGCAAAAGTAACATGTGCAATGAAGGTGAACATATAAGTATTATTCCAAAGACCGTATCCTTCAACGGAACAAAAAACAAAGTACATATCATGTATGCATGGCAATATGCATATAGAGAAGCTCGAAGAAGTAACGGGGAGATGGCAGATAGATGTAGGTTTCAAAGGCGAGTGCAACTAGTCGAAGAAGTGTTAAAAAAATACTTGACAGTAGATTAGATTTCATTGGTAGTTGGTGTACTTGTGGGTATCCGATCGCTGCTCTCAAAATTATATTTATCGCTACTTCTGATGCTTTGCCTCTTTTGAAAATTTTCTTCTGGTATCACAGTAGACTTACTTGCTTCACGTATCGATGATTTATCCTTGAATTGTGATGCAACAGGACAGACTTCCATTTTGTCACACGTTTCACTGATTCTTTTTCGCGTGTTGATTTCCTTGTCACTTTCAGTAATAAGTTCTACAATTGCTTCAGGATCAGTGTTTGTCACTTCGCATATATTATCATACTCCCTATCGTCTGAAGGTAGTGTCAGGATATTACCGAGGCTTTTCTCAATATCGTCGTTTGATGCTGGCTGTTGACCTATATTTAATATGTGTGCCTGACTATGTTCGTTTTCGTTTATCTGACTGTCAATCTCGCTAACTGATAAGTGAATATCATTGTAGGCTCTGATTTGCTCAAGAGTTGATGTTTGTGATTTGGCAGTGTTATGTTCAGGTGAAGTAGAAATTGTACCCAAAAATATATAAGCTGAGAAAAAAATATCTTGGATAAACTTCTATATCTCAGCAACTAGGAACGTTTTACTAAAACACGTTTGGTTCAATATCATTATTTTCACGAGTTGGAGCACCCTGGATACGAACACATTAATAAAAAAAATAATACTTATAATTTAAAATTCCCAATTTCCACTTACTTTTTTCTAGACTCAAAAGGCATCTTTTTCTCAATAACTTTAGAGGCTAAAACAACCTTGTCGTCAGATACAGTTTTGTCAGAAGCAATTGTATATTTGTTATCATTGTACAGACTAGAATGTTCTATGGTAAATTCATTTCCATTATCCAAGTGACTTTGTGCAGATCCGGATGTATTAATTATGTCCCCATTTGTGATATGTTGCTCAGATTTCAAAACTTGTCCAGTATTCTGAGCATCATGTGCAAAGTCAACATGCATATCTGTAGACCTACTAGATGTATCTGGATACTCTGTGAAATAATACGTGTCCTCATTTCTTCTTTCTAAATTGCTTGAGCTTGGAGAGTTATTCAATGTTTCCAACGTGTTTGAGGACATATGTGGCAAAGCAACCATTTCATTGGTAGTTGGTGTACTTGTGGGTATCCGATCGCTGTTCTCAAAATCATATTTATCGCTACTTCTGATGCTTTGCCTCTTTTGAAAATTTTCTTCTGGTATCACAGTAGACTTACTTGCTTCACGTATCGATGATGTATCCTTGAATTGTGATGCAACAGGACAGACTTCCATTTTGTCACATGTTTCACTGATTCTTTTTCGCGTGTTGATTTCCTTGTCACTTTCAGTAATAAGTTCTACAATTGCTTCAGGATCAGTGTTTGTCACTTCGCATATATTATCATACTCCCTATCGTCTGAAGGTAGTGTCAGGATATTACCGAGGCTTTTCTCAATATCGTCGTTTGATGCTGGCTGTTGACCTATATTTAATATGTGTGCCTGACTATGTTCGTTTTCGTTTATCTGACTGTCAATCTCGCTAACTGATAAGTGAATATCATTGTAGGCTCTGATTTGCTCAAGAGTTGATGTTTGTGATTTGGCAGTGTTATGTTCAGGTGAAGTAGAAATTGTACCCAAAAATATATAAGCTGAGAAAAATATATCTTTGATAAACTTCTATATCTCAGCAACTAGGAACTTTTTACTAAAACACATTTGGTTCAATATCATTATTTTCACGAGTTGGAGCACCCTGGATACGAACACATTAATAAAAAAAATAATACTTATAATTTAAAATTCCCAATTTCCACTTACTTTTTTCTAGACTCAAAAGGCATCTTTTTCTCAATAACTTTAGAGGCTGAAACAACCTTGTCGTCAGATACAGTTTTGTCAGAAGCAATTGTATATTTGTTATCATTGTACAGACTAGAATGTTCCATGGTAATTTCATTTCCATTATCCAAGTGACTTTGTGCAGATCCGGATGTATTAATTATGTCCCCATTTCTGATATGTTGCTCAGATTTCAAAACTTGTCCAGTATTCTGGGCATCATGTGCAAAGTCAACATGCATATCTGTAGACCTACTAGATGTATCTGGATACTCTGTGAAATAATACGTGTCCTCATTTCTTCTTTCTAAATTGCTTGAGCTTGGAGAGTTATTCAATGTTTCGAACGTGTTTGAGGACATATGTGGCAAAGCAACCATTTCATTGGTAGTTGGTGTACTTGTGGGTATCCGATCGCTGTTCTCAAAATCATA